AGGGAAAGAAAAATCCCTTCTGAAAAGGGGTCAAGCAGAGAACGCTGACCTCACAGCCAGGATGATGTGTAAAGACAGGTTATGGACTCTCTGAAATGAAAATCTCACCTGGCTGGGACCAGTTTCCCTCAAGAAGGCCGTGCAAGAGAAGGTGGGTTGTGATCATGCAAAGAGCTTCTGGCAGAGCGACTAGACTAATTGTGTGGGCATGGGCAGCACATGGTTGTGTGATCCTGATAGCTGTCAGAAGGGAGGGGAATACTGTTTTATTGCAGAAATGCTGATTATTTTAAAATGTGATGTGTCGTTGCCCTCCGGTCTCTACCGGGTTGTTCTGACCACGCGCACAGCTGTGCTGTACCTGCTCCCGGTGCTGCAGACCCCTGCCCCGGGAATGATGACGGCTCCCGGGCTGCACTGCTCCACGCCAGCGCACACGACATTCCCCAGGTTGGCCACGCCGGGGGTGCACTGCACCGCCTCCGCGCCGGAGATGACTTCTCGCCCCACGCAACTGACTGCGCTCCTCGCCCCAAACCCAGCCCCCACCCTGGGGAGGCAATCGACGCTCCGGGTGCTAAAGCCAGTGCCACCGACACCAAAGGAGGAGACCACCCCCAACCCTGCGCCGGGCCCTGCTGTCTTCAAAGCAGATTTGCCTCCAATTCCAGATAGGGATCGGCACTCCCCGACGGTGCCGCCGCCGCTGACCACAGCTGTGGGAGAAAAACAGGCTCAGTCACTTCCAGAGCAGCTAAAACCCAGCTTATAAGGAAGCTTACAAGCTCAAAAGACACATAAGAAAATTAAGGGAGTGCTTCATTAGCTTACCTACGCTGACGGGGTTGCCAGTACATATCCTGTCAAGAAAATAAAGTCACATAGATTATTTTAGGGCAATATTCCCCAAATACACAAGCAAATGGAGGTGCTGCCCAGCCCTTGCCTCCTTAGAGACCCTGAAGGTCCTTCAGCTTTGCTGTGCAACCAGGTTTGAGGTGCTGGTCCAAATTGCCCACCAAAGCATGGGGGGTTGGATCCTTAAGTCCCAGAGATGTCTTAATATCCCCTCCTCGTTGTGTACTGCAAGCAGGGGATCTAACTGCAGCCTGCTCGGTGCGCTGTGATCCAGCTGCCCTGGGAGGACGAGGAGGAAACAGGGATGATGGTCCCCTCTACACCCATGGGGAGAAAAAGGGGCAATGCTGAACTCTACACCTGTGGGGAGAAAAAGGGGGGATACTCCCTGATGCACCCATGGGGAGCTGCCTCCACCCAGCATTTCCCACTCCCTCTCTCTCCTCCTGATGGGTTTTGCCAGCTATCGCTACAAGGTGCAGCCAGGGATGCACCTACCTGCTCTCTTCTCCTTCTAGCAGTGTCCTGTAAGTGGCAATCTCAATGTCCAGGGCCAGCTTGACATTCAGCAGCTCCTGGTAGTCTCTCAGCAGGCATGCCATCTTGTCCTTGGCTTGCTGCAGTGCAGTCTGCAGGTCGACCAGCTTCTGCCGGGCATCTTTGAGGGCGCAGTCGCCCCGCTGCTCAGCGTCGCAGATGGCCGTCTGCAGAGCTGCGATCTGTGGATAGCGGGCAAGAGGGTGGCCAGTGCTGATGTTAGCAGGCATCTCCACAGGTCTGCTCATGTACCCCCTTGTTTCTTGGCTAGGAATTGCCAGAGCCTAGATAGAGGCTGGACGCGTGTGATGGCCAAGCTATTTGGGATGAAGGGGAGGAGACCTTTTGGCTGCACCCTGGTGGGAAGCATACAGCAGACACTGTTTCTGTTACAGTCAAACCAACTGGCTTCTGCTTATTTGCTAAGTGAAAAATCAATATGCTTCTTTGTTTAGCAACAGCAGATGAGAAGCTACAAATATAGACTTAAGCTGGGGTGGGGGAGGTTCTCTGCATCTCAGCAGGGTGCGAGCTGGTGGGGACAAAGCTCTTTGCTGGAGGAGTTGCATGCGCCGCTTCCCATGCACCATTCAAACCTTCGTCCTACCTGTTTTTTCACATTATCCGACTCGCACTGCAGCTTCTGGATCATCCGGTTCAGCTCAGCTATCTCGCTCTGGTTGTTTCTCAGGTCGTCACAGAACTTGCCCCTGCTGCTGTGGAGCTCCTCCAGCTATCGCACAGGAAGAGGATGGATGATGTTAACGCGCCTGAGTCTCCCCTTCCAGGGAAGGTGATGACTCTCTGGGGCTGCACTGACTTTGGTGTTCCCAAGGAGCGCCCAGACGTGACCTCAGCCCAGACAAGGTGACTGGCCCAGGTGGGTCCTGAGCATTTGCCCTTTGGGAAGGGGACGGTGTTCCTGACGTGTGTGCACAGAGGAGACCTCTCTGAAGAAACACTGTGATCTGCTGGGCTCTGGGTTTACAGAAAATTCTTAAAACACAGTTTTGAGGGTTGTTTGGAGCAGGGCAGGGGGGTTGGTGTGACTTTCGTTAACAAACTGCAGCTCATGCATGCTGTGGGGTGGGTTTAAGTTGTGTCATGGAGGACAGAAATGGTCCTCAGGGTTTTGTTGGCCAGGGGATTTCATTGCCATCTATGCTGGTGGTATGAATACTCACTCTGGTTTGGTAGAAAGCCTCCACTTCAGCCTTGCTTTTCTGGGCAATCTCCTCGTAGCAGCACTCAACACTTTTGATGATGCCCTCCATGTCCAGGTCCCGGCTGTTGTCCATTTGCACGACAACAGAGGTGTCACACAGCTGGCAGTCCAGCTGAGCTCTCTCCTGCAAGATCCATCACATGTCAAGTCCCCTCCCTGCAACCAATGCAGGCCAGGCACGCAGGCACGCTTGGCAAAAGGGGGTATGGTGAGAAGGTGGAGGTGTGGGGAGGTTCTCCCATTAATGCCCAGCTAGGGGCATGGGCTTCTCCAGGTGGGTGACTGGTTCAAGAAGTGGGAGCTGGGGCCTGTTGTGGTAGCACAATATGGAATTGCTGCATGTGGTTCCCTAAGGAAGGGTGGGAATCCTGGTGCAGCAATTTGCTTCGTTGCAACCCAGCGTTTCTGGCTGCTTCAGCAGTTTTCTGGGCTGTGAATCCCTCAGGGGTGAGCACTTTGGGCCCCGTTGCCTACAGGCTGCTGGGAGGTGGTTGGCTAGGAAAGCTGCAAGTACAAAATGTCCTCTGTGTGTTATGTTAAAAACTTGCTACGTTTTATGCAAAAGCATTACTTCCACCAAAGTATTTTGACTAATGTAACTTAAAAAGTAAAGTGCTGAAAATATTGGAGTTTTGAAGAGTGAAATGTTTCAGAGGTTCCCAGTGATGAGAATTTGTGGGGCTTTTTCATGCCAAAGACCCCTCCCTTTGCAACAAGCAATTGGAGACAACCCAGAGCATCCTTTGCTTTCCCACAGTGTGTGTAATAGTGTGCTGGGAAACACACATAAAGAAAGAGAAATCTGAGGGTGCCACTGTAGGATTTTCAGCAAAGTCACTTTTCCCTGGTTTTGATGTAAGAGCTGGGGGGGGGTCAGCAGATGGAGCATCATCCCCAGGGCAGCAGACAGGGAGCCGGGAGCTCTTACCTCAGCGTAGATGCACTTCAGGAATTCCAGCTGCTGCCGCAGGAGGCCCACTCTCACCTCCAGCTCCTCCTTGGTCAGGTAGAGACAGTCCACATCCTGGAGAGACACCATGAATTCAGTGAAAATGGGTGAAGAAACAAGGGCTGCGGCAAAGCCCATTTTTTTCGGATAGATTTGGAGGAAACCTCACCATTTCCAGCACTGAAGACTACATGGGTTTGCCTTGCATGTGCTTACAGCCTGATGGAGGTTATCCAGATTCGTCGGGTTGCCTCTGGTTTGGGGCTACCCAGTGGGGGCTCAGTCATGGTGCCAGGACTCCCCATTTCTCCCCCTGGCCCCATGCCCTGGTGTTGCCCAAACACCTGCCGCTCCCAGTTGGTCTCACTGGCCCTGTCCCTAGTGTCACTCACCTTCTTGAGGACCACAAACTCGTTCTCTGCAGCTGTGCGCTTGTTGATCTCATCTTCATATCTGCAAGAGGAAAGGAGAGGAGTGGGATTCTGAGCCCCAGTGGTCCCATCCCCACCACCCAAATGGCCAACACAGAACATAGGAATTGTGATTAAAACCAGAGCCTCTCCCTGTTCACTTTGTACCTCCTTTTTGATTTTTGCTTTGTTGCTATTGCTTTCCTCCCTACTGGGCTTTGTTCAGCAGTTTTAAATAGTCCACAGCAGTGACTCCATGGTTGGTGTGAGGTGGCAGTAAATCAGGTCAAACCACTAGAAATGTAAAACCGTGTAGCTCAGCTGAAGGCTTGGATTGCTTTGTGTGATGTTTTTTTGGAGCATCCAGGACTCTGCTCTGAGTGTTTATGGGGAGAGTGTGGCCAAAACGCCGTAAGGGAGGTCAGGAGCTTGGGCAACCTTTGAAATTCCCAAGTGCAATGGGAGGGAAAGCCAGCGCATAATGACAAAGTAATTGAGACCTAGAAGAACTTTCACAAGATGAGTCTGACCTCCTTGGTAGTGGTTCCACAAGAAAAAAACATCTGAAATGCTTGACTGTAAGATCTCTGGAGGAAGGACTACTCTTTTAGCCTGGGCTGTATACCACCAACCACCAAGCATCCTGGTTCACGGCTTAGCAGAGCACATGGGGAGCTATTAAGGAATATCTGCAGCTTAGATTAAAAAAACTATTCCCACATTCCCTCTGGGAACAGAGAATGAACCCCAATGGAGACAATGTGGATAAAGCGTGGGGTGGAGACAAACAGGCTGAGGGGTTTGTGGGAATGAATGGCACTGGGGACACGAGATTTGGGGGAGCCACAGGCACAGCTGATGTGGGAAATTTGATATAGCAAACTGTAGTGGTGTGCAGGAGTGTTAGGGAGAGGAAAAGTGGTTCCCTATCCCTCTCCCTAAGGAAACGCTGGTTGAAGAGCTCTCTCAGTCCATCACCAGCATCTGAGGTGCAGCTGTGGGACTCCAGAACTGGCATGCCTTGCCCTGCTACCCTCCCCATGCCTCAGTTTTTGGACGCCCTCCAGTGCAAAGGCATTGGCTTCACGCTCAGAAACACCCTGATCTGCAGCTGCTCTCTGTGTACTCTTACTTGCACTTGTACTCTTGAACCAGGTCCCTGAGGCAACGCTCCTCGTTTTCCAGCCTCTCTCGCTCCCCCAGCACGCACTCCAGCTGCTTCCTCAGGTTGCAGATGAAGTTCTCAAAAACGGGCTCCAGGTTTCTCCTGGAAGCTGGGAGGACATACTGCTGCAGCAGCTCCCACTTGGTGGTCAGCACCTTGTTCTGCTGCTCCAGCAGCCGGACCTGGAGAAGCAAGAGATGCAAGAGTCACACAACCCCCTCTTGTCCCAGGAAAAGGCACTTTGGGTTCCTCCACTTACAAAAGGGAAAAATAAAAACAAAACCAGAAACGTAAATGGTTGAGTGCTGATTTCTCAGCAGCCCAAGTGAGAACAGCACCTTTGCTGAATTAAACCTAGACCACCCCAGGACTCATATCACAGCTGAACATCAGTGCGTTTGCTCTGTGCTGAGGCCAATCTGTTTGACCAAGGCACAGTTCAGCCACACACCACCTCCTCCCCTGCGACAACTGGCTGGTGGAGGATCCACTGCCTCCTCTGATTGCAATAATGAGTCTTCTGCGCCACTACAAGCTCCATCCAGGATGTCATTTGATGTATCTGATTTAAACTCTAACCGCGGATGTTTATCACGCCTTTCACTTCTAGATTAAAGAGCTCTCTAGTACTCGAGGACCTTTATGAATAAGTCATTTTTCACATGGGAGGAAGCAGAGTGGCTTCTTTTCCGTGGGCTTTGTTTTGCCAGCTGCAAAACAGCTCACAAGGAAAATCAAGATCAGACAGAGCAAAGGCTTCTTTGCCATTTGAAAAGTCATTTCCTGTAACACGCCTCTAAACACCAAAGAAAACCCTTAGGCTTAGCTAAGATAACCAGAATAAAGAAGATCTCTTTGGGAAATCACCAAATTATTTAATTGACAGAGTGGAGGGACAGAGAATTTAAAATCGTTCATTAGCATTTTAGCTAGACGCCTATCTTTCTACAGCTCCTTGGTGAAGCACACACACTATTTAAAAAGTACTAAAGTCCTCTGGAGTTGATAGAGGTGTGGTATCAGTGTCAGATTATACATTCATAACAAAACTTCCTATTTTGCCTTTTTACATTTCCTTGTCCCCATCCCTTCTCTCACAGGCTTTGATTTGCTATGTCCCTCGAGCTGCTCCTGATTTAGCTACCGAGCAGACTGGTGAAAGGTAAAATACCTGTGTGGGTGCCTGGGTGCAAGGCTTAAATCCAAACAGCCTCCAGGTCAGGAGCACCATGGTCTATCAGAGCCCATTGCAAGATCAGGGTGCCAGCAGAAATAGCTACTGACATTGTCTCTCTGGAGACAACCCATCCATCGGAGCCTCGCGGCACGAGGCAGACAGCTTTGCACGGGGGGAGCGGGGTCTCACCTTGTCGATGAAGCAGGCAAACTGGTTGTTGAGGTTCTTGATCTGCTCCTTCTCATGGGTCCGCACTTGGCACTCCTCGGGGTCAACCCCAACGCAGAGGGGCTTGAGGAGCTCCGGATGGATGCTGACGCCCCGAATCCCTTCAGATCTACCTCCACCGAGGCCGATGCCGATGCCGTTGCCGTAGCCTCCGATAGCCACGCCGTCCCCAAGAGCTCTGTAGCTGCCCAGGCCCCCGTAGCCTCCGCAGTTACCAAAGCGCCCCCGCGGCCGGCCGGCGGGGGGCGGAGCTGCTGTTGCCCCTGCCGAGGCCGCAGACGGCGGACGCAGAGGAGAAGCCCCGTCTTCCCAAGAGAGAGCTGGAGGTGTAGCACTGTCGACTCATGGTGGCTGGGGGAGACGGGAGGCGAAGCAGTAACGGCAAAGCAGAGGAGCAAGAGAGGAGCAGGGAGTGAAAGAAGGAGATCTCCTTTAGCTGCTCTGAGGCAGAGCCCTTCTCCTTATATACATTTCAGGAGGTGCCTGAGATGCAAAAATTTAATTTATCCACTGGGTTTGGTCTGCCTGGCAGCAAGGAATGGCTTCCAACATTTTAAACCCACAGCAAACACTTCTATCTCATATGAAATAATGTGGAAATTAAAATAAACTGCTTTGCTTGCAAGCTTCAGTTTCAGGACTTATATTTTACTTAATTAATCTGCTTCCTTATTGTGTAATTATAGTTTAGCAAAATAATTCAAGGGGTTTTTATTCATGGCTTGTTTACGGTTCAGTTTCACCACGGCGTTTAATTATGTTTCAGGACCTCCTGCAAAAATGTCGTGGCGATGCCGCCTCTTCCAGGGTCTCGCGCCAGCTCCAGGCTGGCTCTTGAGCAATGACCGCCGGTGACAGGGGAGAAGGAGGGCGTATCTGCCAAAGCATGACTGTGACGGCACCAGGAGTGTTCTTGTAAGCGTTCACTTCGTCCTCTCGTGGGTATGGCTACAGCTCTCATCGGCGATTCGGTTGCAGCTGAGTTAGCCGGCTCACGTGCTGATAAGCAGAGCAGGACACGGTTGGTGGTTTCCGAATAGATGGAGCCTGAACTGCACGAGGTGTTGCTGAGGACAAATTCAGTGACGGAGTGGATGCTTTGGCAAACTGGGGGTTCGTGCACACGGAGTTGAGGCACTGGTCCAGCTGGGCTTCACGTGCCCCTCAGAATACAAGGGGCTGAAGACAGGGCGCTTCTGGGAAACGCTTCGCTGCAGCCAGCGATAGATTGCCGAATGATGTGCCTAAGAAAGGTGATAATTGTCTTCAGTATCTGGGTGTGATGTGACCGGCGCACACGGTGAATTCACGTAAACGATAGCTGGAGATGCAACGAAGAAGTGAAGCGAAGTGTTACAAACAGGTTGAGAAATGTTAGCCGGAGTGAACTTTTTTCCTCATATTCCTGCGACACACCTATTTGACAGTATATTATTCTAGTAATATCTGCTAATGAGAAGATACCGTACCGTCCTAATTAAAATTCTTTAAAAGATTTTTGAATTTGCTTGGAAACAAATAAAGTTCCTTTTTTGCCTTAACAAAGGGGTCTAATCACAGAATCACAAGTGATTGCAGAGCTTGCCCTAAGAAGTTTTGCATCTTTGCTGGGGCAAAATTAGCTGGTTCTGGGAGGATTCCTGGTCAATGTTCTTGTAAGCTTGCAATAGGTTGTCTTGAGTTAAAAATAATGCGAAGGAATTCGGATGATTTAGAGTATTTGTGGAGTATCACCAGGTAAAGATCTTACCTTTTATTTTTTACAGGTCTCAGAATGGGCTGAAATGAACTCTAAAATACTGTGTGTAATTATAATCATGCAGCAGTTCCGTTGTAGCTGCACTGGTCTGAGTATACTAGGATGCACATCTTGCAATGTGATGTACTTTCATTTGTGAGATTAAGATAGTTGGAGAAAGCAGAAGAGCTTTTGGGCACTGTATCCTTCGTGTCATTCTGCCTAAGGTAATCCAAGCACCGAGACCTCTCGCTGGTAAGTGAAAGGGGGAAATATTTTGGAAATTCATTTTATTTTGTGCGGATGTATTGGTTCTACCATTGTGGAGGACAATTGGTGAGTGGGCTGAAACCAAGCCTGGAGCACTGCCTGGGAACAGGGCATTCACGGGTGAGCTAAAGGTTGTATGGACCTTTAGGCAGGTCCATTCAACGTGACTTTCACAAGCTTTTTAGGTGGGCACAAACCATGGGCAAGCTGAGAAACAAGGAGAAGCCAGGCTATCAGATCACCAGCACGAGAGGCTGTGGTCCTGCTTTCTGCATGCCTCAGTCCCACACGCTGGCTGGGAGCAGCTGCTGTGGGGCAGAGATGAGACATCGGGGATGGTGACCAGGGCAGCCGCTGTTCTGAGCTCTGCTGCCCAGCAGGAGCACAGGAAGACACTCCAGCTCCTTTGCATGGCAAGAAAGACACAGCCCTTCATCCTTAAGGTAGCAATTTGCCAGTTTTTCCAGCTGTGAGAAATCTGGGTCTGTTTTACATCAGCTCCATGCTGCCCTCCATACCTCCGCTCAGCCACCCAACATAGAGTGCCTTGTGCCTTGTGGGTGAGATACGCACTGTTTGAGGGCTGTAGACCCTCTAAGCCCCTGGTCTTGTTGGAAAGCAGGGAAAAGGCAGCCTGTGGGACAACAGTCCACATGCCTCCACTGGCTGAGAGCCCTGAGATCCCTTCTTACGTACAAGGTACTGCCAGGCTGCTTCCCTGCGGATTGAAAGCAACAAACCTGCGCTTCAACCTTCGGCTGCTCCTGGCAGCCCTAAGAAGTGGCTTCTTCTAGTTGCCCAGCCTTGCACATCAGAGGGAGATGGTTCAGGGCAGCGCTTGTGGTTTCCATCTGCTGAGCTTTCACAAAGCCGGTTTGCAGTCACATGATGGAAGCCCTGAGCACTGGTTACATCAGCTTCAAAGGAGGAAGCTTTCTGATGTGATTTGGTCTTCTGAAAAGAAGGATTGCCATCACCTTTATTTCATCGGCCACACACACGCACAGCACTGGCTCAAGTCAGACACAAATGTCTTCTTCGTAGAGACCTTCTTCATGTCTCCATGCTTTGACCTGGCTGATTGCAGGTTGGATAGTGTTTGAAGAGCTGTATAAAGGGACTAACCTTCCTCTTTACAAGCAAGAGATGAAACCGCTGTTTTCAGGCTGATGGGATTCAGCAAAGGTTTAAAGCAGCAGCTTACACCCAGATTAACTGGGGAAACCCCTGAGGTCCTTGGCCCTAAGTATGCCTTGAATTGTGATGGCTTCAATGAGACTTATGCTTTCGAGATTTACATGTACCCAGATGCATTTCGATAAATTAATTCTGCTTAAGCACCTTACTAAATTGGGACCTTTTAAAGCCATCCGTGCAGATAGGGAGAGCCTAGGGATTTTTCCAACCTCCTGTTATGATTCTGGCTGTAGCAACCCAGCCATCCAAGTCTGCTTTCTCGCAGAGAGAAAATCACTTTCTAAGACCCTCTTCTGAGAAAATGGGGTTGGCAGGGCTTGGCCATGCTGGAGCTCTCCCTCCCTCCCAGCAGGCTGGGCAGTTTTTGTGGCTCCTTGCGAAAGGGACCACAAAGTCACCCTTAAAATGGCTAATGAGGCCCCTGGGTCATCTCCCTCTGGTTTCACGGGTCCAGCTCTCCAAAGGTGGCTGTTCCTGGTCTCTTAACTGCAGCTTGATTCTGCTCCCACATCAAAGCAGATGGTGGATTTGTGGGGACCAGGCTAGAGATGATGGTCTGGGCTCTTTCCATAGCCATTGGGCACCTTGCTTTCCTCCCAGTAACCTTGCTCCTCGGTAGCTGTTCAACCTCAGCATGGCTTGTCCCTGGCCGTTTATGCTGCTCTGGGGCAAAAAGATGGACAAAATAATTCCTGAGGTTCCTTCCAGGCCGTTCCCAGAGTGTTGGTGGTCACTGCCTGTGTGCACCATTTGCATTTGCGGTGCTGCCAGAGAAGACCTTGCCAAAGACTTTACCCTCCTCCTGCAGCCTTTCTGCTGGACGATAATAAACTGTGGGTAACCAATGTCGGTCACGTCAGCAGTATTGATGGGAAGATGTTGGGGTATCATGTCAGAAAGCTAAGAAGAGAGTGTCGCTCCTAAAGGTGATATCTCATGCAAGGAACACGGAGAGGTACCTACTCGCCAGAGCTGGATGTCCACCCTGCCTGTGTCTGCTGGCCACACTCTGTGCCCTGACAGCAATTCCAGGTGCTTCATTCAGGGCAACTTTCTCATATTGCAGGCATTTCTTTATTCATGCAATGGAGAACTGGGGTGTTGGATGCAGAGCTGCATGCATCCTTCAGACAAAGCTGCTGTGACTTCTCATGTTTGACTGCAGTAGGCAGGGTGCCAGCACTAGCACGAGGCAGCCTGCTTGGATTTTTAAAATCTCTGTTTCTATGGTGTTACCAGGTGACCTAAGCCGAGAAGCTCTCCTTCATAGATCATATTTACCATCTTATTTTGCAAGAGACAAATAGGTTTCGTACCAAACACCACAGGTGTCCACCCCCTTCCTTTGTAACATTCTCCTCTTTGGCATAGGAATTTGTAAGGTGCTTTTGCATCATCTGACCAACCTGGTGTTAAGGCTTGGGGCCTGATGGACTATTAGGGCTCTGAGTAATGGGGTGGAATTGGTATGGCAGTGCCCTGATGAAAGCACAACTGCCAGGACTAAGCACTGGGAATTGTCACTGCAGGGGCAGGGCAAGCGCGTGCCAAGGGAAGGGCAGGAGGTTGCCATTGGTTTTCTGGGGAAGGGTGGGCAATCCTCGTGAAAAGCATCCAGGAGAACTGCATCATATCTGGAGGCTGGACATACCACTGTACTGTTTCACGGGACAGTTGTCTGCTGTCTTCTGTGCTGCAGATTTTTTTAACCAGAAAGCCTGTTCCTTCATGCACTGGGACAACCAGGGACTCCGGAGATGCCCTCCAGCAGCTGAGTGAAAGGGGAGAGTGTGGGAGGAGAGAAATTCAGCCACTGAATTTAAACTAGTTCCCATCAATAGGGCTGTAAATCTGTGTTTGTGTGTGCACATGAGTATATGTAATAATGACCATAGAAAGTAGCTGTTCGGTGTGTGTGGTTAGTGTAATAGACTTAATTTTGCAAACTTATAAACAGGTTTCTTAAAAAAAAAATGAAGTAGAGGTGATGCACAAAGATTGCGTGCAGTTTATTGGCAGCAGAGCAGAGAACCCAGAGCTTTTATCAGCAATATGATCTCTGTGTCCCATGTTGAATTAAAAAGCATCGCTCTGCAGAGAGGGACAAGGAGAGATGTTCAGTAGAGAGCAAACCCTGTTACTGACCTTGTAAAAATGACGTGGCAGGCAAGATAACATAAAGGAATAAAACCACTTTTTAGCATGGGAGTCCTCTTACCTGAATGCAGCTACCTAAAAACTCATCACCAAGCTGAAGCTGGAGGCATGGTGTCCATGAACAGTCAATGAGAGAGCTTGGTATCATCAAGCAAAAAGTTGTTTTATAAAGTCACCAGGACAGGGGAATCTGGAGACATGGGGTCATGCTTTGCAGGGCCACGGGGACATGATCCAAGAGCAGAAGTGGTATCGGTACACAGCTACCAGCCTCAGCGAAATAAAAGGACAAAGAAGAACCAGGAGAAACAGCAATGCTGTCTTTGTGAGCACCCATTCATTAAGCCTTCCAGATGGACACTCAGATTAAGGAGATTACAGAAGGTATAGCTCCTAGAGGACGTACCTATTATCTTAATGAATGGTTGGAGTCACTTTCGTGATTCATTTTGCCACCAACACGCAAAAAACTCACAGTGTGTCACTCCAGAGGTGGCAGCTTGGTGCATAAGCTCTGTTTTATGGTTGTCTCCGCTGGATTAACTAGAGATGAAGAGCAGTATTTCTCCCAGAGGAATTTGCAGACAACTTCTGTTCGTCGCAGTCCTCACATTCAGAAACAGCTACTCCAAAGTTACCTAAAGCCCCATTGCGATCTGCCCTGGAGAGCAGCCATCTGAAACATTGGGCACCACAGTCTTTATTTCCCCAGTTCAGCAAGCCTACAGGGTTGTAACCTCCATTTCCAGAGACTAACTCTCTGAATTTCTAGCAAACCACACATTCAGGGAGATAAAGGCAAGCAACGGTAGTGATTATACCCCCTCCCAAAGCTAAACTCTTCTCTGCCGCAGCTATGTCCTCCAGAGTGCAAGATCCCTATGCCTTCAGAGATGCAAGGTCATGCTTTGATTTCACTGTGTTTCTGAGGTGGATTCCTTCACTTCTTGACCTAAACCTCCTGGTTTAGGAAACTCTTTCTTCCATGACCAGAGATATGCCCAAACTGAGTTTAAAAGCCAGCTGGGCTCCTATCAGAATCCATTGCACCCAGCTCGGGAACCTGCACTGGAAGAAAACCCAGTGCTCAGTAGCTGGAAAAGAAAGCCATGAAAAGCACAGAGAAATGGAAAAGAGAAAATCTTGCTGTGAATTATACATTTTTCACAGCTGTGCCAACAGGACTCCCTGGCCATCCTCTGCTGGAGGACAAAAGGAAATATGTTACTAGGCAAATCTGCAGCTTTCAGAAGAAACTGCACTAAGTGGGATCTTAGAAAATCACAATTTCATTTAACAGCTGCTCTGAACTCTGCACCCAGGTGATCCCGGATGAATCAGGCACCAGTCCTACTCCTCCGCGCAGTGGGGATGCACGCGCTGAGGAGATTCATCTGGGGAACACCAGTGTAATTTCTTGAAGCAACATCCATGCATTGGTGTTTTGCCTTGTTATTCTCTTTGTTCTTGTTATTATGTGGTTGCTTTTTCTCCTTGAATATCCTATGGGGTAATCCGCCTGCTGGGCACTGCGTGTGATACCAAGGAGTGCTAAGCACCTGCCTCTCTTGTTCTCCATACAGAAATGGCTTGCATGTGGAAATCTCAATGACCAAATGCTAGCTTGGTGTTCAAGACATCCTAATAATTGCACACCTGGCCCTCCAGCTCCTCCTTGGCTTAACGCAGAAAGCATTTCATGTTCTTTCTCCCAGGCGTTTTTGCAAATGCCGTCACCACGCTGCTCAGCATCACAAATATCTGTCTGCAGACAGGCTACCTGTCAAAGGACAGACGGGTGGCTTTACTTTCCCTTTAATTACTGATCATGACACCTGTGGCTTCGTTGTCCTCATTTCAATTTAGGACTGAGAAACACCCAAGGCGTGCTGTCACCAAAATGTCATAACCCCTTTGAATGATTTCTTTCAAGTTACTCCAAGAGTACATGATAAAGAGAACCAGTTGCTTATGAGATTGCTACTGGGTTTGGCATAATTGCCTGTTGTGCTACAAAGGTGTAGCACCTCCTTCCCACCCAAACCCTTCGTCACTGCCACAAGCAGAGCACAGCGGGGCAAGCTCATGGTCCCATCTCCAAGGCTGGAGGTCTTGGATGCTGAGTGCTCAGAGCCTGTTTCTCACTTACACTGAATCCTCTTTCCTTGACCCCAGAACTGAAAGAGCACCTTAAAATGTAAAAGGTTTTTATGCCTTACCCTTCCACCTGTCCACTTTCTTCACATAATAACATTGTTAATTTAGTTTCTGTTGTACAAAATAGCCCATTTCAAGAAAGCTGGCAGAGGTCCTGTTTAATACGCTGTGCTAGGTCAACATCTGGGCTCCTCCAGCGCTGGCAGTTGCTCTTGTGCAATGGCATTCAGTAGCTGATGGGTCCTTCATTTATGGTACAAAGCCTTCATGCCTGCTCTGGGCGCTGGGGTTTCTGATGGTGCCTGTGTCCCACCAGTTGTCCACTTTCACAGTGACAGAGGCATTGCAAAGCTTCTGCCTAAAGGTTGCAAAAAGCTGCAGTCCTGAGGGATTCCCTCTCATTTGCATCACTTTTGGGGAAATGCAGAACTAATTGTATAATGTGAGTCTTCGTCCTGCAGCTACAATCTGGCCTGGAGTGATTCATCACTGAGGAATATACCAGGCCTCCTGTAGTCCTGAAAAAGGATAAATCCACCTACTGGA